GTCTTTGACAGACACCTTTTTTACATTTTGTTATCTCCCTCCTTCTCGGAAGGGGGCCGGACATCCTGGAAATTTACCCATTGTCTAAGAAGCCCCTACTGTCTGGAGAGTTCTTAATCATTAGCTGGAACAATGTCCCTCGAGTCCCACAGTCTCTGTGCAACAGAATGTAAAGGGCCAGCTCTCTCTTTCAGATCCTTGCTCTGCTCCCATCTCTGCAAGGCTTGAATCAGGAAAGGCTCCTTCTCGGGTCTGCAGTGCCCAGAGTGATGGGAGATAGGGACCAGCAGCACGGGAGAAACCCAAGGTGCTTCCGTGACAAAAGTGCTCCCGGCCATAACACCAGATATGCAAGGACAAGCGAGCTCTCTGTGGCATTTGGGGCGGCATTGGGGAAAGCCAATCAGAGAAAACAAAGACACCCACCTGCTTGCAGATGACCTCTGTGCGAGCTGGTCCCAACGAGGTGTCCACACGTCGCAGGATCCCTGTGTTACTCTCATCAGAGCCAGACGTCCCGTGAGCCTCAGAAAACGAAGGCCATCCAGTGCCTGAGCAGTACTTTTTCTCAGAGCTGTGTTAGACATCATGACATTACAGCTGTGAAGGCTGCTATTACCATACAAAGAGCATTTTATGCCCCGAATCATTTTTCTTCCAAGCACGATTCGATTCCCTTCTCCTCTGCCAGACCCCAAGGCCAGTTCTGTGAACCACTGGTTCCACAGGAATCTGCCCACTGCATCTCCACTATTAAAGACGCCATCTCATCAGGTCAAAGATTTCTTGTTCCTTTGATGTCGAAGGCATCCCTCTCAAGGACTAAAAACATGAGGAGCTTTGTGAACTGCTGCACGTTAGGAAACAGATCAAATCCCTGCGTTCTAAACGTAGGAAAGGGGGAAATAGGAATGAAATAATAGTGGTCGAAGGAGGGCATTGTGAGTTTAGTGTATCAGAGAAGCGTGAGAACTGATGAAACAGCCGTCTTCAGCCACCGGAACTTCGGGTTATCGAAATTCAAAGCCTGACTGCCTTCAGGGGTTCAGGAGCTGCCTGTGTCACTTCTTAGCTGTGTGAGATTGGACAGGCTGCTTATTCTCTCCAAGCCTCAGTTTTCTCATCTGTAACATGCGGATAATCATATCTACGTTATAGAGATGCTCTGGGCGTTTAAGGAGCTGTGCTGTGGGGCAAGTGGTGATAGATAAGCCTGGGCACCCAGAGTCATCACCGCAGTGCAGTGACCTTCCTGGGGAAGCGCCACAGGGACGAATGATGCTGGGGGCGGGTGATGGTGGTGGCAGAGGAGCCGGCAAGAGGAGGAGGGCAACAGGCAAATCTACTCATCAGAGACTCACTCTAAGTGCTTTGAAAGACGACTCCTTAAATCACACTAGGAAAACATTTTAAAGGGCAGGGAAATGGCTCTCTCTATCTGAGGAGGAGAGACAAGAAATGAATTGTAAATTCTTCAAAAAAAACCCCAAAACACCAAAAACTGAGTAAAGAGGGGGGAAAAGTGGCAAATAATCAAATCCCTAGACTAGGAGCACAGAAGGAAGCTCAGTTTAGAGCACGAACCCCAGCAGAAAGAGTCTAGTGCAAGACAGAGACTCAAACGTTCTGGTCTTGGGACCCCTCTGTACTACAAAATTACTGAGGATCTCTGAGAACTTTTGTTTACATGCGTTTTGTCTATCGATACTTAACAAATTAGAAATTATAAGTGAGAATTTAAAAAATATATATGCATTAAATTATTTTTAAAAATAATAAATTCATTACATGCTAACATAACCTATTTTTACAACAATAATTCTATTTTCGAAACTGAAACAAACATTTAGTGGGAAGAGTTGCACTGTTTTATAACTTTGTAAATCTCTTTAATGTCTAGCTTAAAAAAAATGACAATTGACTATATGTGCTCGTGCATTCAGTCTGCTGCAGTGCTGTTTCGACTGAAGTGTAGGAGGATGTGGTCTCGCGGATACGCAGTTGCAAAAGGGAGCACCTCGAAGAGCCCTGAAGAGATCCCAGGAACTCAGGTATAGCTCTGAGGTTGACTTCTGAGAGACTCGGGTGAAGCCAGGCTCTGTCTGTTATGTCTATGCAACCTTGGCAAGTTATTTAATCTTGTAAAACCTCTGTGTCCTGATCTTCAGAATCATAATGGCATTGTTATTTCATGGGGTTACTGAGAGGATTAACTGAGATGCTTTCTACTTTACTGTTTTTAGCATAGTGTCAGACACGTGGTACTTAAGTCAGTAGCTATTATTTTTTAAATATCATTATTAGTAGTAGTAACAGGTATCCATGAAATTTGAGCAGCTGTGGGTCCAATGAGAAGTGTCTGCACATTCAGATTGGGTTCTCTGCAACCCTTTTTGTTTTCCAAGGGTTCAAAAGTATTCATCCGAGCTACTTTGGTCCAGGGAAAACCACTTTAAGTATCTTTTAATCATAGCTTTTCCACACTGAACATTATATATAAACTAGTGATCATTAAAGGAATTTTGATGGAGAATTATGAATATAATAATTTTTTTAATGAATGAATCTAAGACTAATAAAAAGTCATTTAAAACATTTGATGGGAAACAATAAAAGTATTATTGATGCAATTAACAGAATCGGGAGATTTTACCAGGTAATATGAGAGGCCCATCATGTATCATTTAAGAGTGAAAACTTAAATATTAAGGTGAATTAGAAATTCCAACATACATATTTAAATGATTAGCAGATTGTAAGGCCCTCCCTTGAGAAGCTAAAACCATTCTGGACCATCTTTAGTCATGTACTCTTAGAGGTGCTTCTTTTGTTTAGTTTTGTTATATGTTTATTTGCTTTGTTTTTATCTTAGTTTCTGGAAATTCCACAGCCCCCCAAACAGCAGCAGAGGCACTTGGTGACAACTGACAACCCTCATGGTAGGAGAATTTCCATTCCTTTGAAGGAATGGGAGATCACAAAAGGTTAACAATGTTACTAAGTTCCTATTAACACCTAGGATGTCAGGATATTCTGTAAAAAGGGAACTAACATCAGGCTCTCAGTTTCCTTCTATTCTAAGATTTATGACCATGAAACATGTGATCTCACAGTAGATTTTAATAAACACTTTCAGAATCAGTGTGGGGGGGGCAGGGGGAGGAGAAGGGAGGGGAATAGAGGAAGCAGGGGAGGGGCAAAGTCACAAAATTCCAAGGTTAAGGAAGCAACAGCCTGGAGTCCCCAGGGGAGTGATAAAATCCCTAGAGCGCTCTTGACTTGGAAGCCCTGGACTAAATGTCTCTGAGTTGTCTCCCCCAGAATGTGCACCATACTGGTTTGGCCTGAAGGGAAGTGTGCAGGCAGCAAGGAGCCCAGCAGCCAGGAGACAGTGATCCCTCATCCACTTGATTCCTTAACTGTTTAGTTTTGGTTGACTTTTCACCTGGTTTTGACTCTGTACAAGCATTTGAAGGAATGTTTCTTTCTTTTCTACTCCTGCTGTCTATTACTGAGGCTGGAGACTGGGGACAGAGAGAGAGGGAAAATGAGAGGTCAAACAAGAATCCCTACAGCTATCCACCCTCCTGAATGGGAAGCACTGTCAGGAATATAGTCTTCATTTATAGATTCTCATTAATTAGAAAAAATTCTCAAGAGTTCCTCATTATCAAAGACACATTCATGTATATGGCCCTAAGAAGGATCTGTCTCTAAGAATGTCTCATTGCTAACATGTATCCAGTGCTTGGCATGTGTGAGGCATTGCTCTGGTGCTTTCACATGTATTAACTCATAACTCAGTTAATCCTCCCAACAACTTTATGAATTCAGTACTACTAGCATGCTCATGTTACAGGTGGGGAAACTGAGGCACAGAGAGGTTAAGAAACTTGCCTGAGGTCACACAGCAGTGAAGCCAGGATGTACATCTACAGACTTAACCACTGTACTACACTGTCTCTCCTATAAATAAATGCATCTTTAAGAAGAGTACGTTCTGGAACATAAAAGATTCTTATGAATATATTCTTATTTTTCTCAGTCTCAGCTGCAGCAGCAGCAGCAGTGGGAGGAAAAAAATGGAACAAACTCAAAAGTCCTTAAGAAATGAAAATGGAGGGCTTCCCTGGTGGCGCAGTGGTTGAGAGTCCGCCTGCCGATGCAGGGGACGCGGGTTCGTGCCCCGGTCCGGGAGGATCCCACATGCCGCGGAGCGGCTGGGCCCGTGAGCCATGGCTGCTGAGCCTGCGCGTCTGGAGCCTGTGCTCCGCAACAGGAGAGACCGCAACAGTGAGAGGCCCGCATACCGCAAAAAAAAAAAAAAAAAAAAAAGAAAATGAAAACTGCAACTAAAACTAAATGATTGAAAAGAAACAAACAGGTTGGTAGGTCATTAAACTGGCCACTTGATGAAAGGGCTTTTGGGGAACTGGCTGGTATTCTCATTAGTCTTGGCTGCTTTGGGGATGGTCGCTCAGCTTCCTTAATTTGGACGAACACTGTGCTAATACAGTGGCTACTGGTCACATGTGGCCTTTCAAGATTAAATTATTTAAAATTATTTAAAATGAAATAAAAATTCAGTTTTTCCGCCGCATCAGCCACATTTCAAGTGCTCAACAGCCATGTGTGATTGGTGGCCACCGAAGTGGACGGAACAGATACAGAACATTTCCATCATCACAGAAAGTTCTACTAGACAGAGTTTTTTGCTCTGGTCTCTCCGGTCCCTACCTGCCCCCAACATTCTGTGATTTACTGACAGAACCTGGCTGGGCATTGGGTAGGAAGAGAGTGTCATCTTTACAGTACAGAAACTGGAACGCCAATGAAGTTGAAAACAAAGACTCAGATGTAGGAAGGAACATGGTCTTGAAAGATGACCTCACATCTTTTGCCTTCACAGTCAAAAGATGGAAACAGAACATCTGGCTGTTTACTACATAGTCACAAGGCCGTGCTTTATACTTTTACAACACGGTTCTTTGGCTAAAAGCAGAGTGGCCATCTCAAGGTCCCACTTCTCCCTTTTAATAGAACCAAAGGTCAAAGAATAACTAATGGTTCAGAAATATGCATCCATTTTACTGTTCCTAGCTTCCCCTAGGCCATCTCAGCCTGACTGCCATCTTTCTTTTTTTTTAAAGATTTATTTTATTATTTATTTATTTATCTTTTTGCCGTGCCGCAAGGCTTGTGGGATCTTAGCTCCCCGACCAGGGATTGAACCCGGGCCCTTGGCAGTGAGAGCAAGGAGTCCTAACCACTGGACTGCCAGGGAATTCCCCTGACTGCCATCTCTGCTATCTCCTCACCAGCCACCGACAGAGTGAATGAAGCCGGACAAAGCTCTGCCCTTCCGTAAGCGTGAAGGAAAATCAATCCTAATTGTTCCTCATCCTTGCAGGCGGGGTCTGGCTTTCCAAATTCAGCCCACATTAGCAGCCTAGGAAAGCCCAGGTCTGCTCAAAGCCCAAGGCACATAATGAAGCACTGCCTAATGGAAGATTCACAGAGCTGGCTTGATTTATATTTTAGTCTAAACCAATTTAGGGTTGATGCAAAAGAAAGGAAAACATCTTTGAAGTTCTGAAAAACAGGACTTCAAAGATGTTTTCCTTTCTTCTTCATCGAATCTACTTTTTTTAGACTGTTTCCTGCATGTCTAAACAAAAAAGCCTTTGTTGAGAGATTTCAGATCCTGATCGACTTAAAAGAGGCTTTGAAATCAAGGGACAATTAAATTTACTTTTAGCTACATAGAAGAGAGCATGGTATTCACTACCGTCAAGCACTGTGGGGAATCTATCCTCATAAAATTCTACATTTCCTAAATTAAATTATAAACCCATTTCTCCCTGGGAGAGATACAGTTTTAATCACATGGCCAAGCAAATACCATTATGGTTTAGATTTATTTAAATGCTTTCCCAGGAAAAAAACTCTAATAGCTTTATCGTAAGGTGCCCACCAAGTTTCTTTTGTTTTTAGCTGTTTCTTGGGGATACAGAAAGAAAGAATGTAGGCTAAGAAGTTAATGCTCTAAACACTAGAAATAATCAAGATAGGCAAGAATCTTAAATGAACAGCCCTCCTTATAGCAACCAGGCCAAATGAGAAGGGCAATTAAAAACATCATGGCCCCAGAAGGCAGAGCTGTATGAATTTAGAGGCTTACTCTCCTTCGGTACCTTTTGATCTTTATCTCACCTGAAAAGCGGGCTGTCACAGCACACACAGTGATACATTCCTGATTCCTTGTTGTTCAGGTAGATCCCACTGAAAGGCTGAAAGTAAATGAGATACATCACCTTCAGGTTTCTCATAACGCCAGCAGGACACAATACAGCAGATCCAAATCCAAGATTAAGTCTCCCAATAAAGGAATTTTTATACTAATCTGACAAAGTGCAAATATCACTGGAGAGAAAATTACAACACGCCCAGTGAAGAAGCCTACAGGCTTGTTTACGACCGGGCTTTATTGTGCCAAATATTCAAATTATGACATTAATAATGCTTTGTATTTATATAGCATGTTTCACCCAAGAACATCAAAGCCTGTGAAAAAGCAAGAGAACCGCACCTCTGGATTGTGTAAGATCTTGGTCACCATTTCAAAAGAGTTATTAATACAACAGGAATCTAGTCCACTGTCTAAAACACTTTGAAATCTCCAATTAAAGACAGGATATAGGTATATAAAAAGCAAAGCTCAGTGAGATTAGCTTGTGCCTTTAATATGCTTTACGTGGTGTTTAGGACACTGCATACTTAATAAATGCTAAATAATGAGCTAGATTCTCCCAGGGCCTAAGTTACTACTTAGATGAAATTACCACGTTAATTGTGGCTTAGGAGTTTGCAGGTTCCGAGAGGAACACAAGGAGACTTGAGGCAATGAATGAGCCAAGACTAATTTTTTTTAATGTTATTTTGTAAACTGATCTCATTGTTTGAAAAAAAAAAAAAAGACTATTTTTGCCCAGTTCCTTTCGTCATCTCCTGTCAAAGGAATGTTAAAAAAAAGAAACTCTTGGGCTTCCCTGGTGGCGCAGTGGTTGAGAGTCTGCCTGCCGATGCAGGGGACAGGGGTTCGTGCCCTGGTCCGGGAAGATTCCCACATGCCGCAGAGCGGCTGGGCCCGTGAGCCATGGCCGCTGAGCCCGCGCGTCCGGAGCCTGTGCTCCGTAATGGGAGAGGCCACAACAGTGAGAGGCCCATGTACCGCAAAAGAAAAAAAAAAAGAAACTCTTGAACAAGCCTAGTGTGAAAATCTACAAGCAGTGGCTAGTGGCAGGCACTGTCCCATTTTATGGAGAGAAGCTGAGGCACAGGGTGGGTCACTGAGTCCCAGCACTGACTCAGGAAACGAGCAGCCCCCTTGGTCCTCTCGAGACGTCCTACCTCGACAAGTCCACAGGTCAAACATTCACACTCCTCGTGGTAGGACTAACAGCCCATTTTCAGGGAGCTGCATAATGGACAATTTCAAATTAACCTACTGAGCCCACCATCTCAGCACACTTGGATGTTTTCCCTCTTTAAAAACCCTGAACTTGGCTGCAGACATCCGAATGGTGGTGAGCTGGTCTTTTTCTGGCCCGTCCCCTCGAAGGCCTGTACCCAACGCTGGCATGAATGGGCATCTGGAGTGAAAAGGAAGTTTCGCATCCCCCCCACCTGGGCTGATGAGGCACACATGCCAAAGGGCTACCCAGACCTGAAGGTGATCTAGAGAAGCCTACTCATGCGATCGGGACAGCCTGATAATATTCAAAATATAATTCTGTCATTGCAGGGACAGTTGGGCAGAGGAAGTGACGGGGAACTGATAGCACAGTAAGTTAAAGAAAAAAAATCAAACATAAAAGAATCCTTAGCTGATGTATTTTATGAAATGACATCTCTCCTCCGCCTCCTTACCTGATTTCCTCTGTCTGCCCTCTCACCCTTCCTCCCCAGTTTTATACAAGGCCTATCACTTATTTAGGGCTTCTCGCTTGTTCATTCCAGTATTTACTTGAAAACCTAGTATGTATCCAGTGCTGGACTGGGTACTAAGGCTGCAGAGATGGAAAAACAAAATGAAACCAAACCAACCCACAGTTCCTGCACTTGGAATCTGCTACCAAATTGGGAAGAGACACGTGAGCTGGCAGCTGTCACACCACATGACAGGAGCTCTGATGGAGAGGTTAGTAGGGAGTGAGGATAGCACTAGGCCCTTTACTACTAGGGGAGTTTTCACCAAGGCTTTCTGCACCAGGTAACGTCTGAGATGTCTGAGATCAGGGTTTTCTTTTTCTTTAATCTTCTATCATCATTATTTTTCATTGCATGGCTGATTGGTGTTTATTACAGGAAATGCCAAGACACTAAACTGAGTTCCGAAGGATGAGTAAGAGTTAATCAAATGAAGAAATGGAAGAGTATTTCAGACAGACAAGCAGCCTGGGCTGGGCCCACGTGACAGAACAGGGCAAGGTGGAGAAGGGAGAAGAGGTTGCTGCAAAGGTGGGGAGGGCCAGATCATAGTGGCTTTGTCAGACCACGCTAAAGAGTTTTCGTGCCATCCCACTGAAAATGGAAAGCCGTTGGAAACTTTTAAAGTGGGTGTGCACACGATCAGAGCTGTTTTTTATCAACAGAAGGAGTACTTGACATGCACATGAAGAATGGATTGGAATTGGGGCAGGAAGACACTGGAGGCAAAGGACAGTCAAACGGCCACCAGTTCAAGCCTAGATTTAACTGTGGCAGGAGCAGTGGAAATAAAAAGACTAGAATAGATTCAAGAATTATTTAGAAGAGAGAACTGAAATGCGTGACTGTCAGAGTCAGAGACGTAATGACTTTCAAGATACACCTTCCCCTGGGTTTTCAAAGTCTGTCCTAAGGACTGAGTATTTGTGTACTGCCCCCACCAAGTTCAAGTTTAAGCCCTGACCCGCAATGTGATGGTGTTAGGGGGTGGGGCCTTTGGGAGGTGATGAGGACATGAGGGTGGAGCCCTCAAGAATGGGATTAGTGCCCTTATAAGAAGAGACATGAGAGAGATGACCTCTTTCTCCACCACGTGAGGACACGGCAAGAAGGTGGCCATCTGCAAACTAGGAAGAGAGTCCTTATCAGGAACTGAATTGGCTGGCACATTGATCTGGGATTTCTCAGCCTCCAGAACCCTGAGAAATGAATGTTTGTTGTTTAAGCAGCCCAGTCTGTGGCATCCTGCTACAGCAGCCCGTGCTAACACAGTCTGTCTGCACCAATGCGAGTTCTCTCTTCTTTTATCTTTTCCATACTATGAATACATACCTGTTGGAAACAGATGACACACTCAAAAGGAATGATTTGCAGATAATATCACACAGCACTATTTACAAAGGTGGGGACAGGGCCGATGGAGACCAACAGGGAAGGTGAAGCACCCCTGGGCCAGTGACTGAGAACACGCTACTGGCCTGTGGGACACAGAGCGGGCAGGACCCGTGAGGCTGCAGCTGGAGGGGAGGGCTGCCTGCAGAAGCTGCAACCTGCATGGGAGGAACACAGTCCTAGGGGGACCCTGGATGCCTGTTTCTCCACTGTGCCCTCTGATCTTGCTGGCATCTCCCAGGGGCCAACCCAATCAGGAGTCAGAGGGCAAGGGAGCCGGTTAGTCTTCCCAGAACTCAGAGCAGAATGAGGCATGTGGATGGCGGATGTGGAAGGCAAAGAATGACCTGCATAAAACCTACCTTCTATTGATATTTGACTTTTAGTTATCGCTTGACCAGGCTGTAAACCCCTTCGTCGTACCTAGCAGAGTGCTAGCAAATTACTGCTGTCCAATAAAGAGCATGTGCAACTGAATTTTAATTTTGAGTCACCAAATAGAAAGCTGAGGCATTTTACTTCTCTTTCCTTACCCTCATGGAGCTAACTAAGGCTTATAGTTCTGCAACGTTCTAAAAAGTTAACTGTGGAAATGGATCAACTGAAAGGGATTTATAACATTACTTAAAATAATAGATGATGCTCATTTTGTCAAAGGGCCAAATGCACAGAGTATATTATACCATTTGTTTGAAAATCCCACATATTTATTCTCCTAAACATCTGGCAGCTCATCTCCAGGCTGCCGTCTCCAGCTCCACACCCTGCGTGGCTCTGTCCCTCAGAATAGGGCCGGCTTACAATGCTATGGGAATGCACACAACTGCACAGGGAATCACGTGTGGCTCCCCTGTGCTATCTGCACTATGGCTAATGTAGTCTCTTTCCCAGTGAAGCCTTTCTTAAAATCCCACCCACAGGAAGTTTTCAAAAATACCAGTATTTCACCAGAATCTATTGGGATCTGCTGGCCGGTCTAACAGCTTTAGGATCAGTGGCGAAGTCGAGGGTGAGACCACGGTTACACGGTCATAGCACATGGACAGCTTACCTGAATTTTGCAGGGACTGCTCAATTCAAAGATATAAATATTCTACAGCTTTTGAAACCGCTGCACTGTGGTCCACTCCGTGGGGTCTGCTTCACCAATGAAAATATCTAATAACCTGGTTCAATAACTATATTCCAGTGGTCATATTTGGGACTGAGACAGACTACTTGTTGGGAAATGCAGCACAGTAAACATGGTACATACTATAATGAGGAACCACTGAGGGCTGTTCTCTCAGGAAATGAAAGAAAGCTGAGATTACCGAAGTCGGCTTCAATAATGTGTCCTTCTCATGGCCTGCAGTCATGTGACAGTCACCACGGTTTATTTTTTGAGCGCCTGTTATCTGCAGGCACCATGCTATGTGCTGGGGTATATACCAAGGATGGCAAATGCTAAGAAGAGAAAGTACTGGTAAAAGCAAACCCATCGGGGCTGAGGAAAGGCTTCCCTGTGGGAGTGAGAGTGGGGCCGAGAGCTGAAAGGTACGTGTGAATGGGTCCGGGTGTTGGTGGTGGGGGAGGACACAGGGTGTAAAGGCCCGAATGGAGGGGAAGCCCAGGGTCTGAGAGCTGAAAGAGGATAGTGTGGCCGGAGTGCAGCGACCAGGGGGAAATGTGGCCAGATCTGAGGACAGCGGGTGGAGGTAGGGGCCAGAGCCTTTAGGGCCTCATTAGCCACTTTTCAACTTTTCTCTTTACTTTGAAAGCAGTGGGAAGCCACTGAAGAATTTCGAGCAGGGGGTGATGTGGTCAGATCTGTTTCCAAAAGAGAATGGCAGCCGTGAGGAGGGCAGCTGTGAGGAGAGCATCTGGAGGCAAATGCACGCAAGCCAGGGCTGGGGGGAGCCTGGACCAGCCTGCAGGTGAGAGCAGCGGAGGGAAGCCGAGTATGGGAAGGTTCTTTAGGAGGCAGAATGGGTGGGCGAGGCGACGACGGAGGGCAGTGTGTCCAGAGGAAGGATTCTGGTTTGCACAACTGGATAGATATTCATGGCCGAAGAAGGAGAGCAATGAAAGGCACCAGATTCGCAGAGCAGATGATGAGTTAGGTTTCGTAGCGAGATAGATTCCAACCTGTCTTGCCCTGCCCCCAACACATCTACTCAGAAACTGTCAGTCGGTGTAGCTTACCGGTTCCGTCCCTTTTTCTCTCGTGACATGGAACTGCTCTGGAGTCAGCTTCTTCTGCCACTCACTCTTGGAGAGAACTGGCTTCCGCTTTGTAAGGGACCCTGTGTCGTTAAATAGGGATTAAAAAAAATTAAAACAGCAAGGCCCAGAATGCTGAGGTTGACTTCCTTGGATTTGTCTAAGAAAATTTAGTTATTTACCCAAAGAATTAGAGTCATGCCTTTACTACAAATATTTATATTTTTAATTGTTTTTCGTATTTCATTGCATTGTTCGGGATCTCAAAATTACTACTGTATAAGAATTTATTTACTTTAATAGCAATGATCGACAAATTGCAAATTATAAGATGGGTGCTACTGACTTTCAAATGATGTCTGTGATCAAGTTAAGGACTTTTATATTTTCTATATTATTAAAATATATTTTGCTTGGAAAAAACCCAGTAAGGCACAATGACCTTTTCTTCCCTAGCCTCTCTACTAAAGTGCACCATCTCCCGGCAAAACACGCCATCCCTTCCACCCCTTCCACCCTTCGTTCTTCACAGAGACCAGAAAGCTTCCACCCCTTCGTTCTTCACAGAGACCAGAAAGCTCAGGTACAAAATACTGTAACTGACTCATTAGTTTAATAAGAAATGAGTAATAAGTAGAGAGCCAGTTTTCCAGTCCTGCTGGGGCACAGAAGATAAGAGGCACCTGAAATACGAAATAAGGTAGAATAAATTCTCCTTGGGTTACTAAGGGTAGAAATTCATCTTTCTTCTATTACTACGTTCAAAGGAGTGTTTCCTGTCAGGATACAGCTGGGAGTAGCTGAGTGATTGGAGAGAAAAGATCGTGGAGCCAGTGGGTTATTAAACCCCTCCTCCTTGCTGGTTTATAAAGATATCTCTGATTTTGTTTGTCAAGGGAGGTCTTATTAAAAATTCTTTTGTGTGGAAAAAATAAGAGACTCCTATAGCACATACTCCTGAACGGGAAACTGAGACCTACCATAATCTATTATCATGCTTCATGGTTTTTTTCCACTTTTGTCTTCCTTTCTTCTGCTCCCTTCAGCTTCGTTTTTACAACTTTTTTTTCCAGTGAGTGTAAACATAATAACTTTAGCCAAAGAGAAGTAGGAAGCCTAATGTATATTATAATAAATAAACGTTTTAATCATCCAAACGTTTTAATCATCCAACGTTAAGAATATGAGAGGACCTTATCATCTGCTTACACCTCAACTTACAAAGGAGAAAATAAGGCCCAAAGGGTTAGTAACTTGACCACAGCACTGAAGATGAAATGTTAACTACCTGTGATGTCACCACCCACATAACAAACATGTCAGAAAATCGTAGCTGAATTTCATTTTTGGTTACAAAAAAGAAAGTCGTAAATAATCTTTCAGCAAGAGAAGACTTGTATCTTCATCACGAGTTCATAACACTGCACAATATGGTATTTTCAGTATTATATATTATTGACTGCTATGGTTGTCTACATTTTAGTTAAGGGTTTTTATCTGTTAAATATATTAGAAGGTGTCCTTTCTTAAATACTTTTTATAAGGCCATGGGGATTTCTTTTTTCCAATGGAAATATACCTCTGAAATACTCCTATGGAAATATTGCTCAGTTACACACAAATTTTTCAGGAACTCAGCTCCTGGGGAGCAAAGCAAAATGTATTCATGTGATCATTATTACTGCTTAGTGACTTTCAGAGTTATTATGCAGAATGCCAAGTAACAAAGGGAGAAGGAATGATGAAATTTTTAAAATCACCATTTTTGCAATCACTAAAATAATAGACGGATTCAAGCAAGAATCATCAGGGAATTCTAAAACCCTTGGGTGAAAAGACTGTTGAAGAATGGAATAGTTACACATTTTCAAAATATCCCTCAAATTATCAATTTTACAAGTAAGAAAATGTACCTTTACAATGGAAAAGTCTAGAAATCACCCCCTCAACCAAGTAAGCAAGGTTAGCATCACCGACAGTGGGGCCAGCTGACATCATGTGCCTCTGGGTGGGATGCGCTGCACTGAGTCTGCTCTTGGAGAGCTCACCAGGACTTCTTAGGGACACCCAGGAACACTTCATCCTCATCCCATCTACTTCTCCATAGAAGTGACACTAGACATTCTCTCTTCCTGGTATAGTCTACTCCCTCAGCTTGCATGACACCAAATCCTCCCGTCTCTCCAGTTCCTCCCTCTCAGCAACCTTTCTCAGCTCCCCTTCCTCTAGCCATCCTTGAATACTGGTGTTCTTTAGAGGAGTCTGTCTGTCTTAGGCTTTCTTCTATCATTCCTCCACACCCCCTCCCCCACCCTGGGAGATTTTATCCTTAAAGTACCATCTACATGATGAGACTCCGAACCTGTTTTTTCCCTCCATCCTAGATCTCTCTGCTGAGTACTGGATCCATACACAATCCACACCTGGATATCTCCACTAAGCCCATCCCAAACAAAAGAATTTCATGTATCTCCTCCACCCCAACCCAAATCTGGTCCTCCTCTCATGTGCTCCAGCTCATCAACTCCATGTTTCAAACCAGAGAGCCAGGCCACCATCCATGACTCTTCCCTTGCCCTTGCGCCAAGCCCGTTGGTTCTACTTCCTAAATAACTCTAGGATCTGCTCATTCTTACCCCTCTGCAACTACCTTGGATCAGGCCACCATTACCTCCAGCACAGAATATTACAGATTTTTTTCTAATTTGTATGCCCTCCCCTATTCCAACCACTTCTTTTTCCTCACTGCCCAAAACTGCTCAATGTGACATAATACCCTCAAGATAAATTCCAAACTCCTTGATGTGACTTCCAAGGCTCTTCATGGTTGGCCCTGCTTACCACTTCCAACTTCTCCCTTCTACTATGCTTCAGGCCCTCTCAACTGTGGTCCTCTGAGTTCCCCCAGAAGACATCATAGTTTGTTTAGCTTTTTACTTGTTGTTAAGATGGAGTGAAGACTTCTAAGATCCTTACGTGCCAGGACAGAAACCGAAGTCTCCAATCTCTGGTCTCAGTTTACATGTTATCTTCTCCAAGAAATATTCCCTGACCCCCTAAGTCTGGGTTGCAAGCTCCTCCTCTGGGTTCTCACGGCCCTCAGTGCTTCCATGATAGACACGACAATCGCAGGTTAATTTGTCTGGATGTCTCATTCAACTAGAAGCTGAAAGTCTGAAAAAACTGTGTCTTTGTTCAGTGTACCCCTATTTATCAGTGCCTTGGCATTTGATATTCATTTCTTCATTCATTTGGTCATATTCATAGAGCACCTACTATATGCCAGACACTATTCTAGATGCTGGGGATACAGACGTAAAGAAAACAGACGAGAGTCACCGCCCTTATGGAGTTGAGGTAAAGTAACTAAGAATGTAAAACTTTAGATGATTTTTTCAAAAATCACAAAGGATATTAGAGAGCATGAGGATGTTTGTGTACGTATTTATGTGTGCGTATGCACACACACAATTTAAAATAATGAGGGAAGGCCTTATTAAGAAGGCGACATTTCAGCAAAGAGTTGAAGGAAATGAACAAACACACAACATGAATACCTAGAAGAAGCGCACTGCAGGCAAGAGAAGCACCAGGCTGGGTGTGGCTGGCGCATCTGATGAACAGCAAGGAGGCCAGAGCAACGGAGGTGGAGTCAGCAGGGAAGGTTAGTAGAAGTGGCAGCAGACAGATGATGGGGGCCAGATCATTTAGGGCCCTGAAGGCTATTGTAAGGACACTGGCTTATGTTCTGAGTGAGTCTGGAAGTCATTGGAAGGTTAGCTGAGGCATGACATGATCTATCATATTTTAAAAGGATCAGTGGTAGATATACTAAAAAAGTATTTGAAGCAGGGTGAAGTCTGAAGCAGGGGAACCATTACAGAGGCTACTTTAATCTGGCTGAGAGGTGGAAACCTGGATCAGGGTGGCAGCAGGAGAGTGGCTAAGTAGCGAGACGCTGGACACAGTCTGATGGTAGAGCCGGGGGATCTGCTGATGGGTCAGATGTGGAGGTAAGAGAAAGCAAAGGGCCAAGGGTCATACTCCACAGCTTCTGGGCTCTGAAAGATGGGGGAAGACTACAGGAGGAGTAGGTTTGGGAACTTGGTTTTGAATTTGTTAACTTTAAAAATGCCAATCAGATATTCAAGTGGAGATGTCAACTAGGCAGTTGGATATATGGATTTAGAGTTCCAAGAGAGGTCTAGGATGAAAATATAACTTTGTGACTCCTCAGCCTTTAGATGTTATTTATCTTGGACTGGAAGATCCCCAAGTCAGTGAGTGTAGACAGAACAGAGAGAGAGGCCTGAGGGCTGGACTCTGAGGCTCTCCGCAATATACACGTTGAAGAAATGCGGACAAGCAGAGAGGTGGGAAGGAAACCACAAGAATGCAGTGTCCTAGTGAAATGGAGCAGGACCCTATGGTGCTTGCCCCCCATGTCCTCAGGCTGCCTTTTGTCTGTGGAAAAACTTTAGCCAAAGAATAAGTTTAATCAGAGAAGTGAGAAAATGCAGAAACAAAGGAAAACAGTCCAACAAGACCAAATAATAATAGGTTAGTCATTAAGCAAAGTCAAGGACTTTTAGTTCCTCCTCAAGGGCTATAGGTAATATTCTGAGCCATACCCTGTGAGTTGTCTTACAGATACTGAAACCCCGCAAGGTGGAAGAAGTTACATGATGACCAGGCTATAGCCACGACATAAGCAGTCACAATTCTGAGAGCTGGCCTTAAAGAAGTGGAACAAATTGACCCTGGAACTGAACATTAACTGCACTTAAAACAATCCCAAGATGATGCTGATCAGACCACCGATGACCAACTTCAAGATGACTGTCAGAGCTGACTGCGCTGTTTCTGCGTGTAGCCCGCTCCCAGCATGTATAAAAGCTCTTGCCCACTGATTGTCAGTGGGGAGAGTCGGCCTTTGGACAGGCCTCTGCCCCCTCCCCCGCCAGGCTGCCGGCCTCTGAAATAAAGCAAACTTTCCTTCCCACCAACCTGGCCGCTTTATTGGCTTTAGAGCGGCGAGTCCGACCCCATCTTCGGTTACAGTTTCTGGCTCCCAACCTGGGGCTGCTGCACTCTCGCGATATCTGCTCGCGGGGTTTTGCCGAGCTGAGCCGCCATGATGACGCGCCGGGATGGCTGTGAGGAGCCGCTGCTCGAGGCTCGCTGGCCCCGGGAGTGGGGTTTGGGGGGACGCTCCTAGCAGCTGCCGAAACCATGTGTTTGGGGGATCCTCCCTGTTTCTCCCCTGCTCGGCACTGGCTGTCAGCGTACGATTTTCCTTGGTGGAACGGAAACATGCTGGACAAACTGAGGAGCTCCATGACCGAGTAAGTCCACGGGTGTGCAGCCGGCCAAACTTCTCTTTTGAGCACGAAATGCTATCTGCGTATTTTGCCAATTGGTTCTGACGTGTCTGACATTGAGGGCTGTTTGTGAGCACTGAGTGTGTCATTTGGGCATTTTGCCAGTTGGTTCTGACGTGTGTCTACTGTCGAGGACCCTCTGTGTTGGGTAAGTGTTTGGGACGCCACATGGGTCACTGTCTTGGAGGATTGTGACAGTTGTGTCTTCTGGTATGTGAGTGTGTATTCCATTTGTGTGATTGGTATCTTTGCTGTCTTTTGTAAAATGGTAAGGTCAGGTTCAATTCATTAGAAAAATTTTAGCTATGAGATTACGACTAAAGAAAAAGGAAGATAATTTTTTAAACAATATATGACAACAGTATTCTTTATATTTTGGAAAAGAATGGATAAGATGAAACTCTTTTGAAATTCCAAAACCGATTCTTTTTGCATATGCAGTTAGAGAAAGCTGGCTTGATAAAACACTGTTTTCAGAATTCTGACCCTGAGAGAACCAAAATATGCATAGGAGAAAGCTTGATGTTAACTCTTATCATGTCCTTGAAATACAAACACAGCCCACTTTGCCTGAGACTTCAGCCTTGGGTTAAATAGTAAAACTTCAAAAGATGTTTGGGTTTATTAAACACACATCTTGTACCACATTAAAGAGAAATTATGCTATGAGAAAAATGTAAGTTTTTAGAGGTTATGGAATATGTTCTTAAGTTTGCCAATCAGTAAATGCTGGTATAACAGTTCAATTACTTGTTTCTTGGTTTTGTTAAGGCTTTTAAGGGTTAAAAATTGTAATATGTAATTAAAGCTACTAAAAATGATAAGGGAAGCATTTCAGTGTGGAAAGCAAGTAGGATATGTGTTGTCGGCGAGAGAAAGTATGAAGAATGGAGATATATTTGTTGAGGAAAAATAAGGATAATAATTTGTCTTACAGTTGGTTGTTTTTGGATGGGCAAAGAAAAGGGACAAATCATATGGATACAAAAAGTGATAAAAGGTTTGCAAAAAAAGGGAATTTTGAGAAAAGAATTTTGTACATTGAAGGAGTGATTAAGATTAGATTGCGGGGGCTTCCCTGGTGGCGCAGTGGTTGAGAGTCCGCCTGCCGATGCAGGGGACACGGGTTCATGCCCCGGTCTGGGAAGATCCCACATGCTGCGGAGCCGCTAGGTCCGTGAGCCATGGCCGCTGAGCCTGCACGTCCGGAGCCTGTGCTCCGCAGCGGGAGAGGCCACAACAGTGAGAGGCCCGCGTACCACAAAAAAAAAAAAAAAAAAAAAATTAGATTACAGGCTTCCCTGGTAGCGCAGTGGTTAAGAATCCATCTGCCAATGCAGGGGACACGGTTCAAGCCCTGGTCCAGGAAGATCCCACATGCCGCGGAGCAACTAAGGCTGTGCACCACAACTACTGAGCGTGCGCTCTGGAGCCTGTGTGCCACAACTACTGAAGCCTGTGCACCTAGAGCCCCTGCTCTGCAACAAAAGAAGCCACTGCAATGAGAAGGTCGCGCACCGCAGCAAAGAGTAGACCCCGCTCGCTGAAACTAGAGAAAGCCCACGCACAGCAACAAAGACCCAATGCAGCCAAAAAAAAAAAAAAAGATTAGATTGGATTTAATTAGGTAAATGAACTTTGTTATTAATAGTAAGCTGGTACAAAACTGGAATTAGGTTTTCTTTCTCCCTGTTAAGAGAACAAAATTTTTCAGGAATATTGAGGTGCTTTTGATAACAGTAAGTTTCTTTCTCAAGCTAACTTCGAGTATTCCAAAGGGCCCCTAGACATCTCAGAAGAAATATTAAAGTAACTAGGATTATTTAGTATGTTAAATTATATGGAAAACATACGATAACTTTCAGATCATACTGCTGAACTGGGTAAGAAATTTGAAGAATTCTAGTGGAAAGCTACTGTTTTGCTTTCAACCACATTTTTGACCCCAGTGCTTGGGATGGAAAAAATTGCCTAGTTATCACAGAGTATAATGACTTATGAGGTGTGTCACTGCTGGCTTTAAGTTTACTGCTAAAAGCACATGTATAATGCTTGTGTGATAATTGGCTATAAGTGATAAAATGTATAGCCTATAAAATGTTTCCCCATCAGCAAACCTCTGTACTTGTTTATGTCTCACTAGTCCTCCCCACGACGTGGATAACTAGGCCAATATATAAACAAGGCCCCAAGTCCACAACACAGGGTTGAATGCAGCTGCACTTTTAACCTTTCCATTTTTTATGTAATTATAACTAATGCTTACTGTATGCCTACTAAGCACCAATATTGTGATAAAACATTTTTAGGTTTGTTTTTCATTTATTCTGTAAAACAACCCTACCATTATCACTATCCTTACAGAAGAAAAAAACAGGCTTCAGCGTACCAAGTTCAAGACGTGCCCAAAGACACAGGGTCAGTGATTGACACTGTCGACTCTGAAACCCCCTTAACCACAGAACTATTACCTGCCCATCATTCTCAGTGGTTGCCTACTAGTTGTTGAATTGAACTTTCATGGTTTACTTAAGCATTCCTTAACTGATGGATGTTTGGGTTAGAGCCAGTTTCTAGTTCTTAAGAGTAATTCTGTTAAAGACATCTGTGCACATATAACTTTGTTCTTCTTTAGAATTATTTCCTTAGAAGGAATTCCCAGGAGGGGGTGTCTGATAAGTTAGCAGTTCCTGTATTGGCGTCTGGCCAAATTTTTTTTTTTTTTTTTTTTGCGGTACGCGGGCCTCTCACTGTTGTGGCCTCTCCCGTTGCGGAGCACAGGCTCCGGACGCGCAGGCTCAGCGGCCATGGCTCACGGACCCAGCTGCTCCGCGGCATGTGGGATCTTCCCGGACCAGGGCACGAACCCATGTACCCTGCATCGGCAGGCGGACTCTCAACCACTGTGCCGCCAGGGAAGCCCTGGCCAAATTTTAACGTTGCTGAAGAACCTCAGATTCCAGGGCAATTCATTAGGCTGTTTTTGACAGCACCAAGTACAAACATGGGACAAATTTCTGCTGAAACCACCACCCTATAAACGGGAATGAGAAGAGCTCCAGCCCACAGCTGTGATGTTTCCATCACCTGTGGTTCTCAGGAAACCAATGCTTGGCACACAGTAGGCACAGAACAAATAATCAGATTGGCTGATTAGAGACACCAAGAGGTTCTGAAGGCCATGGTCCCAAGTCATGTTGGATCAGCTCCCACTGCACACTGCCAGGGCTTTTATTTATTTAACACAGCATTTTGAAAACTTCAAGGGATAAAAAGCATTCCAAGTGACTGGGTACATTTTCAGCACAGATATGTAGCTTTAAATGTCTTCAGTGGACACATAACAAATGGATTCAGAGACTGGATGGCTAGGCATCTGCCCATAAAGCCAATGTACACGAGGCACTAGATTCCCCTGAAATAGGCCTGAAATACGGTGCCAGCTAACGCATGTCTCCACAAGTGATTCCGTACTAAAGGATGAAATGTAAACGTGCCCCAGTCCCACAGAGCAGCCAAAGGCGTTTTGTAGAAAATAGACACACTTTTCCCTAGTTTGTATCACAGCCATTGACTAACGATGGTTATCAGGTTAAAGGAGGTATGGCATTAGTCCACACGTTTCCCTGGGTCCTGGAAACACAGAAATAGAGCAGGTCAGGGAGCAGATCCACAGGCATGCAAAGTCTGAACCGCCTGCTTCTCAGACGCGAAAAGCAGCATACATAACTGGAGAAGGTGGACAGTGTAATAGAGCAGGGGCCACTGCAGCAGAGAGCGCGCGGGGTGGGCTGCTGACCCAACACCTTGAGGCCCGGCTCTAGAGCGTAACATTTTATGCAAAAAAAAAAAGTGTGTGCACATTTGGAGAGAGGATCTGTACCTTTACACAAATCCTCATAGGGTTCAGTGACTCCCCCCGCCCCTAATAATATACAACCAGCTGTCGCAGAAGGAAGGAGGTGGGCGGGCAGGGCGTCCCGAAGGAGCTTTCCGAGAAAGTAAGCGCCAGGTCCAGAACCAGCTGTCGGGCTCCCAAGTGCTGGCAAGTGAAGGGAAACCGAAAGCTGGGAAGTGGCGGCGGGGCCTGCAAGGCCCGCGTCCTACCTGCGTCCTCAGGTCCGGTACTCGCGCCGACGCCGCCCCGGTCCGCTCGGCCCCGGACCGCCCACCCGGGCACTTCTCGGAAGGGAAGGCTCCTAAGCGCGCAGAGGAAGCGCGCCATGACGCTGTACACGACCCTGCGGGGCCCAGGCCGCAGGACCCGCCCACGTCCGAAGGGCCCGCCCACGCCCACAGGACCCGCCCACGTCTTCGGTGCTCCGCTCCGCCCCGCCTCCTCCCACCTCCCATCCTGTCCGGTCTGCAAGCACCGCACCGCGCTGTGCTCCTTACCCCACTCTTGCCCTTTCCGCTTTCCTTCTCCTAACCGCTTCTTGCTCCTGCCCCTATCGTCTCCCCTTGGCCTTCTTTGGCCCCCTCGGCCCATGTACCGCTTACCTCCCTGCGCTGCTCCCCCAAACCTGCCTCTCCCCTTGCAGGCTCTTCCCCTGGTCCCACCCCACAGCACCCATTCCCACTCTACTCCCCACGCCCTCTCCCCCCGCCCCACTGATCTGTTTTAGTTTGTTTGCATTTTCTAGAATTGTTTCTAAATGGAACTATAGATTAGTTTGCTTTTTCTTGAGTTGCACATAAGTGGAACCATTTTTTATTTTGTCTGGCTTCTTTCACTCAGAATAACTATTTTGACAGCCCTTCCTGTTCTTGCATGTAAGAACAAGGAACTGTTCATTCCTTGTTGGTGCTGAGTACTATTCCATTTATAGATATACAACAATGTGTTTACCTAGTCACCTTTTGATAGACATTATCATTCCCAATTTTTCCTTATTAGAAGTAAACCTGCTGGGAATATTTCTGTGCAAATCTGTGTGTCACCGACCAGAGTTCTTGGACTCCTTAGTCAATAGAAATTGATAAGAGGCCAGACAAGAAATTCAGGCAAGGCCTTATTGGCACTCATACTGCAACATGAGGGAGCGAAAACAAGTAACAGGTTCCCTTGCTCGCTTCCTGAGGCAGGGCAAGCTATTTCCTTACATGGGGTGAGGGTAGGTGGCGGGTCCAGGGGCTGTGCTGGAGGGGTGGCTTGGGTGGTCTGGCCACCCCTTTGGTGGTGCTGTGCGCAGGATGCCTGTGCAGGACCCTGGTTTTGCTTCCAGCTCCTCAGAAGTGGCAGTTGTATTTTTGGTCTTTTTGTATGTGTTGTTCATAATTTGCCCCAACTCACAGTTAATTTTACTCCCTTATAGTTTCTTTGTATTTTGTTTCTGGAGGAGAAAGTTTGTCCAGGTGCAAGCCCTACAGCAAAGGGTCCCAGGTCCCAGCCTGCCTCATTTATATGGACATGTGATTTCTTTCTCTTGGGTAAATAACTGGAAATGGAATGGCTAGGTCATAAGGTAAGTGTAACTTTTTAAAACTACCAAAATGTTTTCCAAAGTGGTTGTTTCCCCTTCCATTCTGGGGAGGACCACCAGCTTTACAGAATCCACCAATGCTCCTCTCTTCCAGAAACACCCTCACAGATACATCCAAATAACGTTTAACCAGTTATCTGAGTATCTGGTGGCCCACTCAAGTTGACCTGTAAAATTAACCATCACAGTCCCAAATTGGATAAATAAATAGGAAAACAACAGGGGGAACACTGTAATAACCTACAAACATTTACTATTATGAATTTAAGGAAAACTAATATTATCTATTTGGACAATACTCAAATCTGACTGGACAGATGGTTAAAGGATATGAGGAGATGGTTTGCACAAGGGAAACTACAAATAGTGTACAATCACTTGGGAAAATATTTAGCTTCCCTAAAAATTAAAGAATTGCAAATTAAAAGAGTCCAGTATACTACCTCCTACATGTTAAATTAATAATAGGTTGTTTTTTTTTTAAACCGAAGTTAACAGTGCTTTGGAGACTCAAGTATACTCATGCATTGCTTGTAGAAATAGTGGAATAATTTTTCTGGAAAGAAATCTGACAACATGTACCAAGCATCACAGAATTCATTATATCCTTCCATGTGGCAAATCTGCTCCCGGGAGCAAATCCCAGGGAAAGAATTCAATAAAGAGAAACACTCGATTTTTGCAAAGATGTTTATGCTTTTCATAATAATAGAAGGATCCAAAATCATTAGTAGCTAGGAAATGGCTAAGTAACTCTTGACAAAGTAATACAATGAAACATCATATAGCCATTAAAACTTCAAATATAAAGATTATCTGGATTTATGGAATGATCTATATGAAATAATGCCAATGGGAAAAAGTAGAACACAAAATAGTTAATACTTAAGAAAAATAACATAAAAATATGCGCTATGAAACTGGTCTGAAGCATAAAATTTTGGAAGAAAACTTTTTTGATGAAAGATTTTTTTTGTATTTTTCTCTTCAAATGATTTTTAATTTCACCAATGCTTCGTATTCCTTTTAGATAAATTAGAAAATAGAAGTATACACAATTCTTTTTTTTTTTTTTTTCTGTACGCGGACCTCTCACTGTTGTGGCCTCTCCCATTGCGGAGCACAGGCTCGGGACGCGCAGGCTTAGTGGCCATGGCTCACAGGCCCAGCTGCTCCGCGGCATGTGGGATCCTCCCCGACCGGGGCACGAACCCGTGTCCCCTGCATCAGCAGGCGGACTCTCAATCACTGTGCCACCAGGGAAGCCCCACAACACAATTCTTGAACACTATCTCAGAAATCATTACTGAGAATATTTTGATGTGTATTCTTTCAATCTTTTTCACACATACTGTAGTTGATATGTTTTAATTACTTCCCCTTTCCCTGAACTATACTCTTTCTTTTTTTTTGAAGAATACACTCCTGCCTCAATCCCGCATTCTCATTTATATAATTTGGATAGGATGGCTCTAGAGCAAGATTTCTCAAACTCAGTCCTTTAGACATTCGGAGTCAAATAATTCTTTATATGTATTGAGGGTGGGGGGATGGTTAGGTAATGCTTTGCAGGATGTTTAGCAGCATTTCTGGCTTCTACCCACTAGATGCCAGTAGCATCCTCCTCCAGTTGTGACATTGCCAAATGTCACCTGGGGGGAATCACTGATAGGATACAGATGACTGTATCCTAAAACAGTTTAGGTGTTGTTTAGTGTGTTTTAAAATCTGTCAGTACGTTTTTACAACTTGATTTTATTATTCAGTATTTTGGTTTTTAAAGATTTATTGCTGTAGATAGGTAGACAGACAGGTTTAGATCTACTTCATTCATGTTAACTGCTGTGTGGAATGCATTGTATTGACAAACCTGAGGATATCCATTATTCTACTTAGAGACAGTAGGATGTTTTCATTCTTCAGCTGTTACAAACCATGTTACCATGCTACAAATGAACGACTTTGTACAAACCTCCTTGTTCACCCAAGTTTACTTTAGAATAGACATATAGAAGTGGAACTACTGGATCAAAGAATAATGCATCTTCAGCTTTCCTAGGACTTCATCAGTTGCTCTTCAAAGTGGTGGTACCTACAATGTGCATGAGTCCATTTCTCCACATCTTCACCAGTATTTGATGTTATGAGGTTTACTAATTCTTGCCAATATGATGGATGCAAAATAAGGTTTCATTGATTTCTAATTTTCATTTCCCTGATTGTTAATGGCGTTGAGAATCTTTTCAGATGCTTAGTAGCCACCAATTCACAATTTTTGTGAATTGTATGCATTCTTGTCTCTTTTTCTTTTAGATTGTTTCTCTTTTTGTTACAGCTGTGTTGGAATTCTTTATTATTATGCATACCAATTATTTGATGATTGTATGGGTTTTCATTATTTTCTCCCATTATGTGAATTTGATTTTTACTTTGCTCATGATATCTTTTGTACAGAAGTTTTAATTTTTAAGTAGTCAGATTTATCTGCCTTTACAGTTTGCTTATGTTCTTTTACTGTGTTTGTTCCCATATATGTGTGTTTATAATTTTGTACAAACAGTACATACTATTATCATCAAAATGTATGCATTCTTTCCAACTTGCTTTTCTTACTCAATATTTTGTTTTAACATTTTATTTTATTTCATTTATTATTATTATTTTTTTTTGTGGTACACAGGCCTCTCACTGTTGTGGCCTCTTCCGTTGCAGAGCACAGGCTCCGGACGCGCAGGCTCAGCGACCATGGCTCACGGGCCCAGCCGCTCCGCGGCACGTGGGATCTTCCCGGACTGGGGCACGAACCCGTGTCCCCTGCATCGGCAGGTGGACTCTCAACCACTGCACCACCAGGGAAGCCCCACTTAATTTTTTAAAGATAGATTTTATTCATTTAAAAATTTTTTGGTTTTTATTTATTTTTGGCTGTGTTCTGTCTTCGTCACTGTGTGCAGGGTTTTTCTAGCTGTGGTGAGTGGGAGCTACTCTTCGTTGCGGTGCACGGGCTTCTCATTGCAGTGGCTTCTCTTGTTGCGGAGCATGGGCTCTAGGCTCACGAACTTCAGTGGTTGTGGCTCATGGGCTCTAGAGTGCAGGCTCAGTAGTTGTGGTGCACGGGCTTAGTTGCTCCGCGGCATGTGGGATCTTCCCGGACCAGGGCTCGAACCCGTGTCCCCTGCACTGGCAGGTGGATTCTTAACCACTGTTCCACCAGGGAAGCCCTGTTTTAACATTTTACCTGTATGGATTTTTAAAATCTATTTTATTTCTTTTAATGGATTTTACATAATAATGATATTCTCTTGTGTTATCTTCTAAAGCTTACAGTTTTTATTTTCACTTTTAAGTTTTTAGTCCACCTGAAATTAATTTTTGTGTATAGTTTGAGGTAAGGGTCTAATTTTGTCTTTTTCTACATGGAGAGACAGTTGTCAGAACCATTTATTAAATGTTCATATATTAAACTATTTATTTAAAAGTCTGCTCTGTTCCATTAGCCTCTTTGTCTATCCCTGTACCAAAACCACACTGTTTTAATACTATAATTTTATATTAAACCTTACTATCTGGCAAATATAATTCTCCCTTCTTCAATAATGTATTGGCTTTTCTTGGCTCTTCATTCATCTAAATGAAATAAATTTCACCTTACATGTGAAATTTAGTTGCATAAAAACAAGTCTATTGATGGGACTTCCTGGCAGTCCAGTGGTTGAGACTCCGTGCTTCCACTGCAGGGGGCATGGGTTCAATCCCTGGTCAGGGAACTAAGGTCCCCCATGCCA